ATCAATCCCTCACTTGAGACAAATAAGACCAAGTTAACTCACTCACTGGAAAATATAGATACCTACCCATGCTTTTTAGCCCTCTAACTCTCTAACTACTTGTCATTCATTCCATTCATTACATTTCATCACATCTCAACACAACACAATATGAGCGATTTTAACGACGTCAACGACAACTCTCGAATGATAATCAATCAAGCGCCATATTTTCAGCCAATAAATCTCGAAAAACGAAAGTCTAGCGATATATATCTTGAGCAATAATCCCTCGAAATGCAATTTAAGCGAAATATAAAACGACCGATTCTTGGAGCATGAGACCACGCACAATCATATATTACGAGATAGAGAATGAAATCTACCTCCAAAATTAGGAGCAGGTACCAAAATGAAGACTTTACCGCGTACTGGGAAGGTTTATGGTTGACGACTTCCTTATCCTTCAGAAGAATACAAGACATGTGAAATACAAACGCATGTCAAATTTTTTCTTTTCCTGTACTAATTACTTTTTCTATCTTCTTCCCCGCCAAATTCGATTACTATCGTCGGTATATTAACGATCGTCCATACATTATTCACCGCCACTCTTCATCCCTTTCGCCGTTTCACATCCTCACAAAAGATCCACACATATCACATTTAACCAGCTTGGTACAAGGCCGGTCCAGCGTAAACGTATCTGTATGATTGGTTAGTACATGAATACATGCTTGCGCTCTTTTTTTTCTCTTTGAGATGCGAGGGGAAAATGACTCACGGATTAACCATGGACAAGTTGAACGGGGTGACATATGGATTTTGACTGGTCAATGCGATGAACATGGTTGCATTGACGGCAGGACTGAAATAATTAGCTTACTCTCATACAAGAACTGATACACAATAGATCGAACGGAGTATGGGTTGGATGCAACGGGACTTACTCTCCAGCAAAGGTCGACATGTTTGGCTGGACAACCGCAGCGGTGTTGCCACTGACGTTGACGAGTGGGATGAACGTGGCGTTGAGCTGGGAGACGAAGAGTGCGTAGCGGGGCGCATCGGCCAGAGGCGACCGCGCGGTAATGTAACTGTTGTTAGGACCGACGGTTTGGTTCACATTGCCCCAGGAGAATTGGATGGGTCTGCCAGGATATGAGAGTGGGATAGACTTGTTCTGGCTGATGGCTGGACCACAGTCTGAAGATGCACCTTCTGCGTTGACGCACAGATTACTCGAAGCGATACCGGTCGTGTTCAGCGGGTTGGATCCGGTGGTGTTCGATACGGGGCCGATATTGGGGTTTGTTTTTGCCGGATTCGGGTTGTTCACGATGGTCAGCGCAGGGAAATTCTGCCATGCCAAACGGGTCGTGTTCGCAGGGCAACTCGAGCTGAGAGAAGAGTCAGTACAGGGAACCGGGGGGAGCTATGCAGAGCTCCTGCATGCCAGAGCACGAGATGACAACTTACATATACGGCGCTAGCAGTGTCCATGCCCAGGATTGGGGAATGCCAGGGATAAACCACAACGGCATCGGGAACAGACCGTCAAACTGGCGGAAAATCAACTGTTGGCGAGCTTCAGTGGAGATGGACTCAAGGAGTAACGTGGCAGACTCTCGCGAATCGAGATGCCCGAGGAAACCGTAGACGCCACTTTCGCCAAAGCGAGTCAATTTCTGGCAAAAGTCGATGAACTCGCGCACGTTAGTGTAGGGATAGTTGTAGGTACATTGAGGTGGCGCCTGAATTCGTTCGCCATGAATGTTAGTCCTGAAGGCGCAACGTCTAGTAGTAGAACTGCCTGAACACTCACCGCAGGTCCTAGGATGTTGCTGAGCAGCGTCGCGTGGCCGACCTCTTGGTTTGCCATGAACTCGATCAAAAATCGATCCTCGGCCGTCAATCCGGCGTTGTTGAAATCCTGGACGGAGAAACGAGCGAGTCCATTGTGGAACAGGTCCAGCTCTATCCATTCCTGGTAAAGAGCGAGAGTCAGAGACTCGTAGTCGAAATCGGACAACGGGTGATAGTATGGCAAGGTTCCATTGGTGCCCTGCCCGCCAGCCGGCTGATACGGAACTGGCATGTTCGAAGCCTGAAGCAACCCATTGTTGTTGGTATACGTGACCGGTGCAGGGCCAGCAGGAGCAATCGATTGAGCCACCGCGGGCGCGCTCAAGGCTCCCGTCACCGTCGGACTAGGACCGTTGTAAGGGCCATGAGAGGTCGGTCCCGTCACTTCACTGCTTCGGACAGGAGGGATGGGAGCGCTGGCGGGCGTGAGAGTCAGCTGGGGAGCAGGAGCAGGGGCAGCCGCTGCTAGAGCACCAAAGCTCAAGAGAATACCCGCAGAGGACTTCATTGTCACGACAGTAATATGAGTATAGATCCAGGAACAGGGGAGGATGAGGGCCAAAGGAATTGTGCGGGAATTATAGCTTTCATTGACCCTTCGCCTTCAACAACCAGCATGACCTCAACATTCTGTCCATACCGAGAGCATCCGGTCGTCAGCTCCATTTCTTCCAAATCTAGTTCGCAAGCCTACGGAATCGAGGCTCGGCAGGTAGTTGTCGAACAGCATTCAACCACATATTTCTCCTGTATGAGCAAAGGGCGGGGAAATGTAGCTGTCATGAACGCGCCACACGAGCATTGCCGGTGGTCAGCTCCCCCAATGGCCATCCCACACGAAAGTCGATGTACCGGGCTCTTCCAAGTCGTGACGTAGTCAATGATGCTGGGAGAGGGCCGGGAGGCACGAGATGTAAGACGAGGCTGCGCAAGTCCTTGGTCAACGTAATTCCTCGGGAGATTTTTGTGTAAGGCTGACGGTGGCAATAGGGTAGGTAGAGCTGCTCAGGAACAGCTCTTGTCATGACGTTTGTGGTTGAACCGGATCAGATATCCAGAAGCTGCATCCCAGCAGCACCAGCAAATGGTAACGATCGACCACCTCCCAGGCCTTTCCCGAGTTTTCATCGCATTCGGTCATCGGCAACCACACCTTGCCAGAAGGCATCAATCACTGGTCGGACGACGAGCATGGTATGGTAAGGGGTATGGTTGTTGCAGGAGACGTAGTTGAAGTGCGAGTACCGAGAGACTAGTAGTGAGTGGTGAGTTGAGCAAATACCAAGAAGTGCCTGCGCAATGCCTGCGCAATACGGCTTATGGGCGTGACTGAAGGCTGCGGAGAAAACAAAAGGACAGGCGCTCCGACCCAATCGCATGCCACCCAACACACGGCATCACCGTCATGGCCATGAATTATTCATTTTGCGCTGCCTCCATTCGCCATTTGCCATTTAGCCATTCGCGTCCAGAAGCTGACAACACAAGCAACCAAAACAATGGAGATTGAGTTCCTACCATGCTACGAATCCCGCCCAGGAAACCAGCGGAGCGCGTGAGATTTGCATTCCCATCTCCGCGAATATCTCCCTCCACCGTCTATCGACCCCATGGATTTTCCGGTGCATCCAACCAGATACTCAGACGGTTAAGCAATGAATATCAGATCGCCCCGTGACGCAACAGCAGCAGGCAGTAGCAGAATCTCATTTCGGGGCACAAAAACTTGTGATGCAGCCTTCACAAAGAGGGTTTCCGTATATTGGACATGAGATAGAGGTCTGTTCTCAATATGTGATCTGCCCGTCCGGGCTCCGAACGAGCGAGAGAAATTACATTCGCGTATTTGGTGAGCAGGTCAGATTCGATGCGGAGTTGTTACCTCGTCCATGTCGAAAGCAACATCACCACCGTGAGACGCAGGCATGGGAGATCATCATCTATGCACAGTCAGATCGATCGATGCACCTTAACGCGACAGTGTCGACTTCTGTGTCAAGTCGACCTCCGCCTGCACTTCATTGCCATATGCGGATATGTATGCATCGGGCACCTAGACGTTGTAGCAGACCGGCTCCATAACCAGACAAGCCGCAGGTCGACAAGGAAAAGAAAAGGCCCAGATCTCACACCGTCAGCCCCAGAAGGCTCAGCTGCGACGAGTACGGACTTCAGGGCGCCATAGAGGCTCGGCGTTGAGCCACTGGAGAAATTCAAACCCCCTGAGAAACGGAGAATCAGTGTGAAACAACACAGAAAAAACTAATATTACACCATCGCGTCCATCTGCTCACGTTGCCATCTCAGCAGCGCCAGCGCGTCACTGGCACCACGGGGAGCCGTCAAGGCCATCTCGGGTGGGCAGCCTCACACCAAATTTGGGATATTATTATTGTTATTGGGGACCTGGCTCCTTTTCCAACACGTTTTTCTGGGTTGTTCTTTGGGCTGATGGACAGATGAACAGACGGGCAGATGGGGCCTCCACCAGCTGCCGCCCGTGATACCCAAACGACCGGCGGCTCATCCACTCCAGGGCTGTGGACCATTCTACATTGGGACCTTGGAAAGACCTTCTAGCGACACCCAGATCCTCTGTGGCTGCATGAGGCGCGTCCCACTGGCTGATTGCCCCGGTACCTGCGCAAGCCTCCGAAGCCTTAATTTGAGCCTGTGGGATGCCTTTCAACTCTGAAGCGAAACTCTCCGGGCTCCTGACTGGCCGGTTGCCCCCTTTCATTCCCCTGTTGGGTGTCTGTCACCTCGCCGTTGTCCACCATGGGTCCATGGGATTCGCGGTAGTGGCCAGACATGGTGTCTGATGGGCGCCGCTGGGGAAATTGCGCTGAGAATACTGCGAATTAGCCTCAATCGGTGCATGGCTCGTCGACCCGGCCTCCAATCTCCCTGGCTAGTGACAGCAGTACAAGAAGCTCAGGACGCCCAGAACCATCGTCCTTTTTCTCTTCCTATACTCAAGCTGTGACTTTCAGTATCCCACAAAGCCCTTTGACTTCGGTCGTCCATTCTTTCGAGTTCAGCTCACCCACGCTCGTTCAAAGCACCACCCCGACGCTCTTCGTTTCTTCGAAGTTATCTACTTTTTTTTCGATTCCGGTAATTCAAAAAACCTCAATCCAACCAAATCCGAAAAAATGCGCTCCACCATTGTTGTCGCTGCCGGCCTTGCTGCCGTTGCATCTGCCGGAACCACCACCATCACCGACACCGTCGATGTGACCATCACCTCGTGCGAGCCCACCGTCACGAACTGCCCCTACAAGGGCGGCTCTGGTGCCGACCAGACCTGGGGTGACTGGAGCGCTGCCACGACCACCTCCAGCAAGCCTGTTGACCCCGTGAGCACCGACTCCCACACCTGGGGCGACTGGACCAGCGCCAGCAGCACCAGCAGCAAGCCTGTTGACCCCGTGAGCACCGACTCTCACACCTGGGGTGACTGGACCACCACGACCACCTCGGCTCCTGTGGCTCCCACCACGACTGCCGCCTGCGGTCAATACACTGCCACCACTCCCCCGGCCTGGTTCTCTCTCCTGCCCTCTGATCAGCTCAGCTCGATCGAAGCCAAGTGGACTGGTGCTCCTCCCGCCGACTGGTGCTACTGGACTTACAGCACTGGCTCTCTCTCCACGACCGCCACCCCTGTTGCTCCCGCTTCTGACGTCCCCAGCCCATGGTCCTCTGTTGCTCCTGCTGCTGGCACCGGTGCTCCGGCTGCCCCTGTCTCTCCCGAATCCACTGGTGTCTGGTCGTACTCTGGGTAAGTTAATTTTCACCATTTGCAATGCGCAAATTCTAGGAATGAGTTGGGCTAATGATTTTCAACAGCTCTGCCACCCCTGTCGCACCTGCTGTCGCCACCTTCACTGGTGCTGCCAATGCCAACACTGGATCGTTCGCTCTCGCTGGTCTCGCTGCTGCCGCCGTTTTGGTCATGGCATAAGCGGGTGTCAACTTTTACGAAGGGCTTTTGAACATTTTTCTGTTACGATCCACATGGCCATTGCATTTGCAGGAACAGCAAACAAGTCCTGCTTGATACCAAGGAACAAAGCAGCATGTCTGGGGAGGTTGTCTATGCGAGGGGAAGAGCAGCGAGTGTTTCTGTAATTAGTTGCAAGTGTGCAATGGGGTAGTTAGTTGCATGATTTGAAGATGGTCCCTTCTTTTGCATATTATCTTTGGACGCATCAAGGAGGTGCTGGCTTGATCTCTGTAGCTAGCATTGCGTAATACCTGTTTACCGGAGCTACTGGGAGTCGTCTCTTTTTTTCTTTACTGTCCTGGTATACGAGTATGATGTCAAATTTCTGTTAGAGATATTCATCACTGTGTGAGAGTCCTTGCATGTTTGTGCCCTACCAAATACCTCACACGTGATGTAGAATCAGGGGAAGAAGTAAATGTCCCGATTAGGAGGTTGTGGATATGAAAACCATCTTTTGTGGCTGTGAGGGAAATTGCATGTGGCCGAAACCAGCATGGAACAAGACGCCACGCCACACGCCCTCCTCCTCCTCCTGCCGCCTCCTCCTCGACTTGACCGCGTTCGACCTTGCTGTCACACCTTTTTTCCCCTTCTTTCCCCATTATTGAAATACACAACCATCGAGTGTCTTGGCAATGTCTCTAGAGCAACAAGGAAATGTTTGCTTTTCCAGTTGACGAGGCAAGATTGCTACACCGCATATGGCATTGTGATTCCACATGGGAGATTACGAGCAACAACATGAGAATGACTACTCGTACTACTGGATCGCGTATCCCATGTCCGCTCGCCACGTGCGGATCTTGTATGATGGTTGTGTGTCTACATTTGTGGGGGAAATATTCACCACAGAGGGCGACAGCAGGACCACTTTACGAGGACTTGATTTCCGCGCCGTTTTACCCTGCAAAACACGATCCGTGACAAGGGAAGATCCTACGTCTATTCTTGATGGCACTGATGGGTACCCAGAATGTAACCCAAACTCCCGGTTCCAATGCACCCCTGGGACGTCTGGGACGGGTCCCAGCAGCAGCGCACGGTCCACCCCTTATACAAGTTGCCCCAGGTCAGACTACCTACGAGTACTGAGTACATCGAGATCGTCTTGAACACGGGTGTATAGGAAAGAGCACGGCTCTCTACGGATGTTTATAATCCCGCATCACCGTCCTTGTCATCGCATACTCTCAACCAGACGGGGAATTATTCTACGACTACACCTCGACTCGCCTAAGGCTTTCCCTCAAGACTCTCAGATGAGACGCTCAACCCCGTTTGGACCCCATATGGCCATTTTTACGGATCCCCCATCAGTCTTGGGGGCTAGTGAGGCTGGGCATTTGGGCCATGCAAAGGCTTGACAAGCTTACTCGGCCCCAGATTGTCAGCTTCTAACTTGTTGGGGGAATTTCTGCTAAGCCATTGCGCTGCGAAGGAAGCGGTTCGTTTTGTTTTCTATTCTGACCTGATCAGAAGGAACATCGGTCCGCGAAGAGCCTCCCTCCCATCGCCCCTTCGACCGGTCCTTCAACAGTCTTCCTTCTCGCTCCTTCACTGCGCCGTTGTACGCTGGGGGGGATATCGCGATAATGTCGGGCAACTGAACAATCCTCCCTCGTGGGATCGGGGACAGCAACTTCGCTTCCCTTAAGCCATTTTTTTTCCGCTGCTATAGTGGTGTCTTTCACTGCCCCCGCGACATGCTGGCCCCTTCTGCTATGGTTATTCTTGACGCTTATCGCTTACTGACAATCGCTTCCCACACCGTTTACTATCAATGGATAATGCCAATCTGCTGGCGCGGCTCTGCAGTGTAAGTCTGACGCTCTCAAGGTCGCCGATTACGAGACGCAAGATGGTCGTCGAACCCTACCCTTCCTGCAATCCTGGTCCCGTTCGGTTTGGCCCATCAGATGGTGGTTAAAACTCATATATCGCCCTTCATCATGACCTCACTTCAGGCTGCGTTTTATCTTCACTTTTCGATGAGCGGCCTTGGTTGGTTGCCAACATCTTCTTGTTGTCTCTCTTTAGATGACTGGGATCGAGGATCAGCGGATGCCTCCAGGAACCCGGAACAACACTCTCGTCCTTGCGACACTCTCACTCATTTGGCCAGCTTGAAAGTGAATTATCCCACCATCGACCTGTTCTTCAGACGCGATTTCTCATGATGAATCCACCAAGCAACAATGTCTTCGACCAGGTCCGGTCGAAGCTGCGGCAGTCCCGCTCCAGTATGGTGTTGACCACCTCTACATATCCTTCATATGAGCAACCCAATTGGGATAATGTTCCCGTGGCATTTCGGCCGGTTGAGAGGGCAGAGGTGCGAGTGGTACATGGGTACTACCTGGATCGACCTCTTCCTGGACCCCCTCCTCGTCCACGAACAACGTCTCCTGCTCCGCCTTTCCAGCCCGGGCCAGCCATGAACATTGGCCATCTCAGAAATCCTACCCCTCGCACACACCGCAGCAGATCGGCTGAAATTCCGCAGAGGGAGTGGTCAGGTCTACATGCTCAAGACTTGAGCTATCAGAACAAGAGGGCAAGCGTCAATATTGCTATTGCCCTTCCGCCAGATCATCTCGAGCCTCCTCCGCCATACTCTCGTTATCCCTCTCCGCCATCTGGAAATCCGACGCCTCCACAACCTCCACGGGTTCAAGAGCAGCCTTTCATCAAACCGTATAACCCAATTGACTACGTCCGTCCGCCGAGTCAGGAACCGAGACGACTGCCTGAGCAGGTGCCCATTATTGCTGCCCCAGAGCCACCCACCCCGGTTTCCCCTATCAATGCCCTGGATTTACAGTACTTGGCCATGCGACGCCCGCCGGCCACCAATAGCAATGTCACCATCGACGGTCTTCTAGACCATCCTATGCTGCAAAACAGATGACCTTTTCCATTCTGATGTCCTCTCGAGTCTGGTTCGGTCGTTGGAGGAGAGGTTGGTCGGCACAAGGTTCCACCGAAAAATATAAACCAATAGACCCATACCAGCGGAGAGCAATCGCAAGGGGATACGAGCTCAGACCATGGCCGATCCAAGTTCGCATATTTCGATCCTCACGTGCATGCTTCGGGAAGGTGGGAGGAGGAGCACTATTCCCTGCCATCGAAATTCGCGGTCTGGTGGAATGTAACGCGTAGGGAGACGCTCCTCCCTTCGCACCTCGACTGCAGGATGCGACACGAGGAATCGTTACTTTATATGGTGCCATCCGTCACAGGCAAGTTTGATTTCAATCACTACTTTCACTCATTACTTGTTTAATCAACCACTCGTTTGATGTTCCACCTCGCTCCTATACGTTGCTGTTTCTATTACCACCCAGACATTCTTTCCACAATCGCGTGACAGAGATTCACTCATTAGCTATTAAAAATGGCGCCGATCCCTTCTCTCGGTGCAATTGCCAACCTCAATGCCCTCAGCGTCACATCCAGACGGCTTGTTACCCGTTCCCTAACCTCCGAGTCCCTCGTTGCAGCCATTATCGTCCTCTCGGTGATCTCCACTCTTCTGCTGGGCAGCATGGTTTTCCTGTTGGCCAGAATTTGGAAGCAGGTGGTGACCAAGAGAACCAGTTCCCATCCACCCGAAGCATCCAAAAATCATAACGCAAACTCTGAGCGCAAGCAGAGTGACTGGGCCAGGAAGAATAGTAACGTGCTGTGGTCCATGTATATCGAAGAGGACGATCTGAAAGCTCAATTCGCCGTGTCGCCAAAGTCCAGGCTGTTCTCCATTGGGTCTGTCTCCACGGTTGATCAGGGAAGGTGTCCTTTGGATCGTCGACGATCACACGGCAACACACTGGCCCAACACAAGATTGTCGATGACGAGAACCCTCAGAACGAGGAATCGACCACCGATCTCCGCAGTCGAACTCCATTCGAGCACCAGACGACTCCGACAAAGAACGTCGCTCGTGCGCGAGCCCTGTCTCAGCCTTGCAACCACAGATATAGTACATCAATCGAGGAGCTGGTGAGGCGCAAACAAAGTGTACCTGCGCGAATCGACGAGGAGGTTTTTGTAGGCTATGACCACTACGGAGGGCGGTAAATGTAAGAGCTGGCAAGGTTTCTACAGATATCTGGATGGATACGAGTGGTTGAGGAGGAGCTGTCTTTGGGCTAGATTTCGTTTGACGACCCTCATCATTTCTACATTCCAGCTTTACAGAGAAATATGGATTCAGTTCAATTCTACTCAAGCCGATTCAACTGATTTTACAACGCATTGTATCATCGTATCATGCTTGAACGGCTGTCTTACCACAGACTCCCCCGATCACGTGCCGTCCGTCTCTACAACATGCGTTAAGGTCCTCAAAATTCATTCCTCGTCTCTATTCGTCACTCAACCACCTCCTCCACGCAAAACATTTGACTCTGGACCGTCCGTACCTTGCAGGAATGCCTCGCACCAATGAAGCGGAAGAGTTCGTCTGCATGGAGCCCCGATTCCTCAGCCGAGAACGGGGCAACATGTGTGGTTGTGTGCGCCATCCTCGTGTCTGGCATCCAATGCTCTGAGCTTCAAGACGCCGATGACGAGATGACGGATCCTTTTCCACGTTGTGGACTGCTTTGTCCTCGAGATAAGAATAAGTGCACCCTCATCTGCTCCTTCCGAACCACTCTCTCAAGTGTTTTGCCCGGCTGGTCTCACTTTCCCAGTCGTCATTGTCTGGAAAGATCTTTCACGGAGAGCATTTGCTTCTAGACTTTGAGAACCGGTCTGTCAACATCTAGCGTTGATCTCGTCGTGCTCATATTCCTCTTTGTGCTCTCTGCTTCCCTTGAAGAACACTCCGGAGATGCTTCTCAACGCCTCCCACAAACTCAGCTTCAGTGGCCTTCCGCCAGATCTCCTCGATGCCTATGTCCGGTACAAGAAAAGTACACGGGCCCTCTTGACTTGGTTCCTCCAGCATAGCCCGACGCCAGACAAACCCGTCAAGAGCTTGACCATCAAGGATCTTGAGTCTCTGGCTCAAGTGGCGTCCAAGAAGATACGTTCTCTACCCGATATAGTGCATTTCTACTTTCGCGAAACCATTTCAGACCGGAAGAAATTCAGCAAGTATTACCGTGCCCAAGTCGGCGAGTCCGCCGACGACGTGGACACGATCAATCACGAACACTTCACTGCAACGCAAGTCTTGAGTCACTGATGCGTCAAAACACCTCGACTGACTTTGACTGCAGGCTCACCAAGATCTACAATGACCTCTGCGTCTGTTGTGGTGACCACAAGCCGGGGAACCAACCACACCGTAAATCGCTCTCGGCATCTCCTATTTGTCAATCACTGCGTCCGGTCAATCTTTACGAGGGCCTGGTAGTTGAGGATGCCGAAGACCACGAAGGCCAGAGCCATGGCAAGGTAGGACCTCCAGGGCAGTCCAAGCCCATCTCACCGCCACCATCGACCACTGAGCGTCAAGATCTCGACATTCGTCTTGCAGACGATGACCTTGGCAACGCTCTCGAACTGGCAGCCGCGGCGCAGGTAAGTTCGTTCTGAAGTGTCCGGAGTCCTTCGTTAATGCGACTAGCAAATCCACGATATATCCTTCTCTGTCGAACAATATTGGCGGCTTGTGGGAGAGGGTACCCTCTCGTTCGCAGTTGCAGCTTTTATCACCAATGTAGCTTTTGCTTGTCTGCGCCGAACCGTCACCGAATTACTTCAACACGACGAAAACTTGAGCCTGGCAGACGTCCGTCGCATATGCGCTCTCAATCGTCCAGCAAATCAATGTGCGGGTGACACTAAGGAGCCCATGCGCACTGATCAAGCCCTGATGGATCGACTGCAGCACTTTCAACAAACACTTGCAGATGTTTCGAGCGGTAGTATAACCCTTCCTGACCCGTCTTGCGCCAAATGTGGCCACAAAGAGGCTCAAGAAGCTCAGCGGAGAATCGTCGAGGACAATACTAGCGGTCAAAGCTTCTCAAAAGCCATGATAGAGAAGCTTGTCCAGTTGGTGAACAGCAAAGCCACAGATGTCGAGGTCATTCAGACCGGGACCCCAGTCTATTGGGACGTGTGTGGCCTCATTACAAATCCCAAGGACACTCCCACGTCTTGGACAGCTGTTCTGGGGCTGGATCTTCTAACCCAAAGCACCAAAAGCTTCCTTCGATCCGTTCAGCCGCCGCAAATTGCCTCCCAAGGTCGGATTGTCGCCTTGAAGCTGGCCCATCAAGCTCGCTTCCACGTCACGACGATTTTGAAGAACAAAGCTGCCTTTCCCTGCCGCTGTTCTCAGACTCTGGGCTGTCACCTGCAGAATCTGGAGACCGAATTGCACCAGTATGCAAGCTACAATTGCTGGGACCTCCTGTTTCAATCGCCATGGGTCGCCGGCAACCACGCCCTCGAAATGGTGGACCTGTGCCACTACTACGGGTTGCACCTACTCAGATATCGGCATTACGTGGGCGCGGTCCTACATTCTTATAACGTGCTTAGGCAGCTTGGTGGACTGGAAGAGATATCGACCTTGGAGAAACTGAGCATTCAGTTTGGCGATGTCTTGTTTCCCGGCAGCAAGCCTCCCAAGTCCAACTTTCGCACTTGCTGGGCGAGACACGTGGGCGCAAGACTGAAATTCGAACAGGGTCATAAGGGTAAGAACAAACATGATAACTGGTGTCTCGCGATTCCCGCCCATGCGGCAAAAGCTGCGGCTGGATTTGATATCCCCAACCACCAACAGAGGCATGTTTCGGGTTGTATGTTGTTCCGCTACAAGCACCAGAACTACCACATCAGTGATGCCCAGATGAAGCAGATCAGTACCCCCGTAGTGCGTCAACGCCCAAACAACGGAGAGCGGGTGGTCCATCGGATGTGCAAGACAGACGTCCAGATCGTCGAAGCTGCGGGCCAGAATCCTAAGCTGTTGGCGGTTGCCCTGATGACGCACCGATTGTTCACCACGGGCGCTGGGGGACTACTTCCGATGGCTCGGGTGAACCTGTTTGCACTATTTGAGCGATGCCTCAGAGTGGTGTCACAGGTCTCGGACAAGATGCATTCTGACAATGAAGCCGAAAAGGGCAGTAATTGCATCTGCTTCTGCAGTGAGATTTTCAGCGCCGCAGATCGTATCGTTAAAGGCAGACGACTGGGAAAGCTCGAAGCATGGAAAGAACACGAGCGCAAGCTCATTGAAGACACGAAGGAAGCAATTCAGAAAGCGTTTGGCTCTGTTACGGATGAGGAGATGTTGTGGAATGTCTGAGGGGATCGCAAGCCCGCCCAGCAGAGACTGTACCAGAGGGTATTGGCAGGCTGCGAGGTAGAGATGCAATGGCTTGGAAGCGCTTTTGAGAAATGTCCAGTCTGGAGTGCTAGTTGAGTGGTCCTTTACCTTTTAGTATTCCAAAAGATTCAGCAGAGAGAAGAGTGAGGCAGTTGGAGAGTCAGCGTGAGAGCTTTGTTGCTGGTATCGTTACATTATGTTCGTGTTCTGCACCAGTAGTCATCCTTCGACCGACTTTAAGCCCACGTCGTCTGTCGACATGACGGTCGAGTTGAATTTGTCCGAGGTGGGCAGCTCAATGTGGATGTTGTTCACCACGGCGATGCCCATATTGACCTCGTCGGCCTGCAGTTCCAGCACGTGGCCCCCGATTTTTCTGTCTCTGTCGATAAAGTGCATGTGCTCGCCGGCGACGAAGAAGCCCTGCCAGGCCGGCGGCGAGCGGAACCCGACGATGGTGCCCTCGACGTCGCGGTACTCGGCGACGAACTGCGTCTTGCCCAGCTCGCTGAGCGGCTGGCCCGCGTACTCTTGGCCCTTGACCGTGCGGCATTTGAGGTGCCGGAACACGCCCTCGATGCGGTACGACACGAAGAGATTCTCGATTGCCGCGACCGGCGCGCCCGCGTTGCCGTCTTGTCGATGCATGATCACCGCGTCGACGGTGCCTTTGCTCTCGAGCCTCACGCCCGTGACGGTGCGCTGGGACCGGAAGTGCGTGGCGGCCGCGTAGGGGATCTGGGCGTCCGGAGACGCGACCCTCACCCTCCCCTCGGCTTGGAGCTGGTACACGGCGCCGTCGAGCAGGAGCAGTTCGCCGTCCATGTGTACGAACGTGCCGAGGCCCTGGTTGCCCTTTGTGAGGAGTTGCGAGGCAGTGATGCCCGTGTCGGATATCCCGGACATTAGGGCACTATATGTAAAAATATGATATGTTCGTGAGTAGATATATTCAACGGGAAGAGGATGGAAGGGAATGGAGTGGAGCGATGGAGGGTGAATATGATCTCGAGCGAGTGAGTGAGTGAGTGAGCGGGCGCTATAGGGTGAGAGGTGGGTAAAGGGAGGGCGAGAGCAATAGTCTCAGCAAAAACACATACATACACCCTCACTTTCACTCATTTACTTACTTGACTAGGGAGTACTGATAGATCTCGTTGATGGCCATCTCTGTCGAATTTCCCAGCGTCTCTTTTCTTTGATTGTTTGTTTGATGTGGATGGGATTCTTGCCTGGATAGGATAGATCGACTGATATGTATGCTTTGTCGTGGTCTGTTCTGCTCTGTTGTTTTTATTCTTCACTATCACCTCACCGCAGATTCTTGACCATTTCCCTCTTCCTTTTCCTTTTTTCTTTCTCGAATTTCTCTCGTTGTAGCTTTTTTTCTCCTCCTCCAGCTCTTCCGCAAAAGTCGATATGCGTCGTGACGTGCTCCGGGAGGAGAAAAACAAGGGTTGCCCTAAACCGGAATACGGGCCTTGCGGGTCGCAAACAGATCCAGCACAGGAATCCGTGGCACCCAGTGGAATAACCGGCTGCCGATTACATCATCTCGCACATGCGTCTGATGCATCCGCCTGTGAGGAGTGAGTGAGGCTTCAGGGCGGAAAGGGAGAGTTGTTCAATGTGTGTATTGTGTATATATCTCAGTGAGTGTGAGTGTGAGTGTCAGAGTGAAAGTGAGTGAGTCAGGAACTGGACTGGACGTTGAGGACTCACACATACATCGCTCATCAATCTACAGGATATTCTATTCACTGCGCTTTCTGGACAGTTCTACTCCCACCTCTTCCTGACACTCTACAGCCTCCATCTAAGCCCATCATGAGCACCTCCGACGACACGGTCGCCCAGATCATCGTCAACAGCCTGTACAATGCCGGCGTGCGCTTGGTGTTTGGCGTGCCTGGCGCCAAAATCGACGCCATCTTCGACTGCTTGATGGACCATCCGGAGATCAAGCTCATCGTGGCCCGACACGAGCAAAACGCCGCCTTCATGGCCGCGGCAGTGGGCCGCATAACGGGCATCCCAGGCGTCTGCATCGGCACCAGCGGACCCGGCGCGTCGAACCTCGCCACGGGCCTCGTCACAGCGACGACGGAGAACGACCCCGTGGTGGCGCTGGTGGGCTCGGTGCCGCGCCACATGAACCTCAAGCGCACGCACCAGAGCATGCGCGCCCTGGACATCCTGGGCCCGACGGCCAAGGTCGCCGTGGGCATCGACGTCGAGGACCAGGCCGCCGAGGTCGTCCTCAACGCCTTCCGGACCGCCAGCGCCGCGCCCAAGGGCGCCACCGTCATCTCCATCCCGCAGGACGTCGCGCGGGGCAGGTCGAGCATCCTGCCGTTCCCGAGCGACGCGTTCGTGCCGCCCATGTACGGGCCCGCGCCGCGGCAGACGCTCGACCAGGTGGTGGGCATGATCGAGCGGGCCAAGCTGCCCGTGCTGTTCCTGGGCATGAGGGCGAGCAGTCCGCGCGTGGTCAGCGCGGTGCGGCGGCTCCTGTCCAAGTTCCCCTTGCCGACGGTCGAGACGTTCCAGGCTGCGGGCGCCGTGCCGCGCGAGCTGGTGCACCTCTTCTACGGGCGCGTCGGCCTGTTCCGGAACCAGGTCGGCGACAAGCTCCTGTCCAAGTCGGACCTGGTGCTCGCCGTCGGCTACGACCCCGTCGAGTACGACGCCAACCTGTGGAACCCGCGCGGCGCCCGCCACGTCGTCCACATCGACTTCACCGCCTCCGACTACGGCACCTACTACCACCCCGTCGCGGAGCTGCTGGGCTCTGTCGTCGAGAACATCACCTACCTGGCCGACCACCTCTCGCAAATCTCCGAGCCCACCATCTCCGACCTCTGCCAGGGCTTGATCAGGGAGTACACCATGTGGCAGGACAGGCCTGAGGTGCAGGGCTCGTCGTCCGGTCTGGTCCATCCGCTGCACTTCATCACCACCTTGCAGGGCATGGTGTCCAAGGACACGACCGTGTGTGTGGATGTTGGATCTGTGTAAGTTTTCCCCCTAAGATTTCGGATAGGGCATGTGTTTGGTTTTATTTTTTTTTTGCCCGATGGTATCCATGAACCTGCCTGGCTTGGAAAGGGCGTCTTGCAGCAACGGTACCCATGAAACCACACCCGTCTCTTTTCTAACGGTCTTGATTTCTCGGTGGCAGGTATATCTACTTTATGCGGTTCTTCTTTGCATATGAGCCGCGCCGGCTTTTATGGTGAGTTTTATCGGTATTCTTTTTTTTTTTTTTTTTTTGGCGTCCTTTGGTCATCTTCTGCGTCTGGCCCTAGCTGTTCCCTTCCTGTCCCCAATTCGTCCGTCCCAGCTCAGCTCAGCTCAGCTCCCTCCTAACCTTTCGGGAATTTTTGTCCCGACACAGTTCCGACGGCCAACAAACGCTGGGCGTCGCGCTCCCGTGGGCCATCTCTGCATCCTTGACGCAACACCCGACCCCGTGCGCGGAAAAGGTCATCTCCGTCTCCGGCGACGGCGGCTTCATGTTCTCGTCCCAGGAACTGTCCACGGCCGTCCAGCAGGGCTGCGACATCACGCACGTCGTCTGGAACGACCACGCCTACAACATGGTCGAGTTCCAGGAGGTGCTCAAGTACGGGCGCGCGAGCGGCGTGCGTCTGGGGGGTGTCGACTTTGTGCGCTTCGCCGAGAGTTTTGGCGCCAAAGGCTTCCGCATCGAGAGCGCGGGCCAGGTCGGACCGGTCCTGCGTGAGGCGCTGGCGTATCGCGGCGTGAGCATCGTCGATGTCGCGATCGATTACTCGGGTAATGTCGAGTTAGCGAGGAACGTCATTGCGGATGAGTGGAATTGATAATTCACCCTCCATCCGTCCTCTCCTGGCATGATCTATTAGTCCCATCTGAAAGTGGGAAGAGAAGAGCGCCGTACCCTCGTCACCTACCGTGCCGGTCGGTCGGTCGAGCCGACGACTGGACGAACGAAGGGACGAGCAGTTATTGACGAACTTGGCAAATGGGTCGGGTTACTATGATGGATCGGTCCAAATTGACAGGACACGGACACGATTTCTATATCTCAGCTTCTCACATGGGACGCTTTGGTGAAAGGGAAAAAAATGGCAGACAGGGAGGAAACAGAGACACATGCAGAGACACAGCAAACAGCAAACAGGAAATAAAAGTCCATGTCACATGAAGCGACGACATCTGCTGAATCGCTAACTTGGTCTGTTACCGGTTTTCCTCTTCAGGTTGACATTTCCTGTCTCTCACAGTCAAGAGAGCCCTCTTTGCCTATTCTGTCACTTTGAATCTGCAAGACCAGGCACGTACACAGCATACGGCACAAAGCACGGCGGATATCCTGAACAGAGACCACATTACGTAGCTTCCACAAAGCCCCTCATATCCCAGTTTCTGCCTGTTGGTGCGACTGGTGCGACTCCTTGTACACTAGTACCGGCCCATCTTCCAGCATGAGAAACTCCGTCTTCCAACCCACGACATAATCCTCTTCCTCCAGAAACTCTCCGCTGACACCGGTACTCTCGTCCTCGGCCTCCCCCGTCAGGCCCAGGTCTCGGGGATCCAGCTCCGCAGGCATGGGGACTTCAGCAGGAAAATGCGATGAAATGCCGACAAGGTCTTCCATCACCGCTTTAGGGTTCCTTACTGGTATCTGCCGGAGCTCCGTCTGTGCTTGCGGCGGCGTTGTTGGATTCTTGATGGGGGTTTTGCCGCACCCGCTGTCTTTGCCTGGTTCGCCGCCTAGCTTGCCACGCGCCTGGTGGACATAGATGGCAAATTCGTCGAGAGTGGATTTCTCAAAGAAGCCCAGGTTGATCAAATCGTAGCGACCATGGAGGGCGAGTAGTAGCTCCTGCATGTGGATGTCTCGACTTGTCTCGTAGAACTCGCCCGCAAGGGCCTCGAGCTCCGAGTGGGCTGTGCCTGAAGCGTTGAGCGCAGCCGGAGAGACATGTCGGAGGAAGTCCAAAACATAAGATCGGAACGCGTCGTCCGGCAGGGTTGAGGTCGTGCTTGACATGTTGGTACAGGTTTCCTGTTGGTCCTTGAAACAGGTTGGCTGAATGGGTGAGGCGAAGGTCGTCGTCGAGAGGTGTAGAAATTGGCTCTGTCAGGCGACGCGTCAATACAAAACGTGCCGGCAGCGGTCACAGGTACTCTCATACCTGTTTCTGTCATTCCATGATGTTGTCGCGTTGCTAAAGAGGTCGACAGGCAGACGGAACAGATTGTCGACGCGCGGAAGGTGCGAGGTTACGGATGTGGATGGATGGCTGGGATCAATTTGGTCGCAGTTTCGCCTCACCTTTGAAAGAGTGGTTCAAATGTGTGAATTCAGTTCCGCCCGTCTCCTGGTTTGCAGAAGGCATAATCCAAGGAACAACAGTCAATATCATGACGCTTTGGATCGCGTCGGTCTGAGTCTTTGGCAGCGCCTTCCATAGTGTTCAAGAACAAAGAGCATGATCGAAAGAAAGAGATTTTAGAGAGGAACTCCTTCCATGAGAGCAGTTTTGGGAGACATTAAGGTGTCGAACGAGTGCTTGATTCCCGGTGAATGGTACCTCTTCGTTGGTTCCCGTACATCATCATCCTGACCATGACCACGATCATATGTTGTAATCCGTACGTAACGACATTGATCAGGAGAGGTGATAATTTCGATATCGGGCCAGATCCCAACCGGCTTGTGACGAGTATCAGATTGCAACTGCATCTCCCGGCTGTCGTACTGGGGATCAATCTTGACAGGAACAAAAACAATAACTGCATCGGGCCTCGACAAGTCAACAATATTGGCGTGACCGGGATGTTGATACTTGGGACTTTCCTCACTGATCGAGTACCAGAGAGCAGCATACATCATCCGAAACTGCACCGACATTGTCTTCGCAAGCTGGAGTTCTTCGCCTGTTGGTTTCTGCCCTTCAGCCCGGATGATATAGTTGCAAACCAACCGGAACCATCGGCGTAGCAATCTGTGGAGCTGATTAAAGCCGGAACAATGGCTGGTCCATTCCTTGTGGCAAAGGGCATACCGAAACCGCCAGCGGAAGATTTCGAAGAACTTCCGCTGCATCTGCAGGGGATTGTGGAAGAATTCTGGAAGATGTGGTAGACTCTGATCAATGGTGATAGTAGTTTCCGCGCCAGCACGAAAGATGGGAGTTTTGAATATGGAGACCACCGTCTCCACTTGGATAGCTATGGAATAGATCGCTCTGGTGGCCGGTGTCCACTTGGTATTGGGGTCGTTCATGATGCGAAAAGCTGCGGCGAGATGCGACAAGCCTGCGCGACACTTAATCTGTGGGTCCAGATGCTCGTAGACAGCTATCAAGACACAACACAGGAGTACCGTGTCCACACGAATGACGTCCTTCTCTCGGTTGAGGCAGGTCAGAGCTTGCAGATACTGTCCAGACGCAAAGGCGGGCTGGGCTGAAGTCAAGTCGGACGTGTCCTTGTACCTGCCAGCGAGAGCGACGGCGAGGTGATGAGCTGCTGGGATCGATGTTGTACATTGTCGAACGTGATGGAACCAAAAGTCGTGAGCACTGCTCGCAAACGTCCATTCTGCCATGGCTGGAGTGGCTACTTCACAAAAATACTGAAAAGCCCAGCGCTCATGATGCGAGCCCTGTTCCATTGGTATGGACCCGAGCAAGCGCGCAGGTTCGGCGGCGGACGTATCTGATGGTGTGTTTCTCCAAGGTTCAAAAATCCATGCTCTGCGGACGACATAACCGTCACACTGACGTCTGCTTCTGCTGCATCTCAGACAATTGGGCTTCGTTTCGTCACATTTCACATGTCTCCTTTTACACGTCAGGCATCCAGTAACAACTTTAGGATGATAAGTTCGCCTGCCGCAACGGGGTTTGTTGTCGTTGTCCAACGGACCTGACGAAACTGGATCAGTATATGGTGAGCAAGGTGACAAGGACGCAGTGTGCACCGGGGGATTGTGCGTGATGGTCAGATCTCGCTCGATGTTCACGCATCCATGTTTCTGTCCCGGGGCCATAGCAGGTACTTGCTTGCTGAAAGGTGAGGAAGATTCACATTGTTGTCCGCAGGAATTCCCCCGGCCGCCACGACAATGCCGGTGACAGTAGTACTCTTATAAACTCGACGGGGCTGAGGTGGATGCCGCACATCACAATGTGGGAGGCCTTAGCGATTTCAGAAGCATTGGATTGGGTATCCGAGGAGGTTAGCATCCGGGAAACGGTAAACATGGAGGGCAGCTTTGCCATTCAGACTTGTAAACGACCTCGATAGCGATTCGCTTGGGGTTCCAGGGGATCTGAGTGTAGCCCTATTGAACTTTACAGTCATGGCGGTGTAACAGCAAAGTCACCAGAACCTAGGGGTCTTTTCATAGCTCGGAGAGCCTAATGAAAAGTGATTTGTCCTGAGCCGCTGGAACATTCAAGGGACGCTCGAGGATCTGCATTCTCTGGCTCTATTTAGCTCAGTGCACCCGTCTTAGGGTAGCCATCATCCCGCGTCCTCGCTTCTGTCGGCTCGCCTAAAACTGGAATCGTCACCTTGGGGTGCTTGTTGAATACAAGCATTCGAACCAATTGAGATGGTGCATGACTGGAAAGCTGCTCCATACCGAAAAGAGGCATTGGTGCCAGAAACTGGTTGCCTTGCAAAGGATCATGACCAACGAACGCGCTTGATCATATTCGTCGTTGACATGTGAGAATATAGCGAGCCGCGACATTTGATTCCACGCAGCTGTCGCATATTCCGCGTTGATGAATGTGAGGTGTCAGGACCATTCCATGTTGATGGCTCAACGGGAAAACAAACTGGCTGAGCAGAACGTAACTCAGCCTCGCGGCAAGCAGCCATTTAGGGTTTAGTTCAGCCTTGTCCGACCTCACTGGGTTTTTCTCGAGGCTGCCTCTTCACCACTGCCTCTCATGCTGTAGCTACAAGTACCGAGTACAATTCAATTCTCCCCTCCACAACTCATCTGGTCTTTCACCGTCATGTCAGACAGTATCATAATCCCAGTCCCATCCTTTCATGTCGATCTCGCCGCCATTGATGCCCTCCATCTGTAGGTCCCACCGGTATCCAACAAGAGTAACCATGTTTGCTGAGCGTGGAGAATTCTACTGGCCACTTTGTTAAAAGCTGATGACAGACCAGGGTTCACTACAGCCGCCGCCTTCTAATATTTCGCTGTGCTTCCCTTGCTCAGCGGGATGCTCAGCTGGCTGCGCTCAAGGTAGGCTTACAAGCTCTGGGCTTGCGATGTGCGATTTTGGGTGGCGTGGTCACCCCTCTACAACCTGCAGAGGTCAATGCCACCAACTCCGATCCGAACTGGCGCACCATCCGCCCTGACCGTGGCATTGAACTGGTGGTGAAAGACATACGGGCGGAATTGCCTTCTTTCGAAGAGCTTGAAAACTCCAATTTCTCAGTCAGCCAACTCCCCTATGACCCGCTTGTGCCCGTGCCTCAGTACCTTGGAAATGACCGCCCTTTCGCCGCCTGCAAAGTCCAGTTCAGCACGATCAAAGGAGGCACTATCCTCACGTGGGCCATGTCACATTGCGTGGGTGACGGGGTCGCGAACGACGAGCTGATGCGCGTACTAAGCGAGGCCACAAAGCTTGCCCAAGAGCGCGCTGTGGATGACGTGCTCGCACAGGCTGCCGCGTCCACGCAGATGGGGCTCGATCGCAGCATCATGCGCGGTATGTCCAGTGAGATCCCGTTCAGGATAGAGGATCATCCGGGATATATGACCAACGCGCCAAAACTACCCCCAAGCCACCCTTTCCAGGCTACAGCGCCG